AATGAACCCGGAGCCTCTGAGCCAGAAGTGAGTGGGGCCATCCTCCAGGGTCCTGGGCAAACATCTCTCCTTGCAAAGAGGGACAATGTCCAGAGCAGAGAGAAAGACAACACGGGGGTCCGCTTTCTCACCGAGGAAGGAAAGAAAAAACTAAAACCCCACAACTCAGGCCCCTCTGCGAACGTCACAGGCCTCCATGAAGCCGGGACGCAATCCCTAGATGTTCAAGGTATTTTCACAACGAATCAATGCATGGGACTGTACCAGGGGTCTCTGTTATTAGCAATGCTCCCTGGACACCCCAAATGAGAAACGGTTACAGCTTGTGAGTGTTGAACAGGGAAAAGCATTTATTTATTTATTTATTTATTTGTGAAACACAGAGGCTGAGGGAGAGGAAAGAGACAGGAAGTGGGGGGTAAAGCAGACACAGAAGTGCTCTGGATGTCCCAAGGGCCTCCACTGTGCAGAAGGAACACCCCACACCTCCTGGCTGTGACTGAGTAGCCCTGACCCCAGGCCACCGAGGACCCTCAAATGCCATGCTGTCCCTGGACACCTGTGGCCCAGAACTCAAGCCCTGCATGTGGAGGTTCGGAATCTCGCCCCTACCCTCGGGAACTCTCTCTTGCCAGTGCTCGGTGCACACAGGTATGTATGTTTGCTAAATAAATACAAACACGCAGACTGATTCCTGCTTTCTGCACAGTCAAAGAGAAAGGAAAATGCTGGATGAGCAATAAATATTTACTGAGCGATATCAATGACAACGCAAAGGTGATATTAATGGCTACTTTTTATGGAGGCCTAGGCCGAGCTGAATTTAGCGAAATTCTCTCATTTGGAACTCATCACACAACCCTGTGAGGTACTGTTATTGTTCCATTTTACACATTAAAAAAAATTAAAAAAGAAACAACCCTGTCAGCTAAAAGGATTAAGTAACTTGCCATAGGTTGTACAGCTAAGAAGACAGTGAGGCCTGGATTGCAAGCTGGGTCAAAGGACTCAAAAGCGTGTGTCACCAACCTCTATTTTACTGCTGCCTCTGGGCTCCGTGGGCCTGGGACAAGTTATCAAACATACTTCCCATGGGGGATGTTTTGGAAACAAGTTATTAAAAAAAATTTTTTTTTAATGTTTATTTTTCAGAGAGAGACAGAGAGACAGCAGGGAAGGGGCAGAGAGAGAGAGGGAGACACAGAACCCGAAGCAGGCTCCAGGCTCCAAGCTGTCAGCACAGATCCTAATACGGGGCTCAAATCCATGAACCACGGGATCGTGACCTGAGCTGAAGTTGGATACTTAACCGACTGAACCTCCCAGTGGCCCCTGGACACTATTTAGAAGTACAACGCATTTCAGAGTATTAGGAAAAGTACTAATGCATTCCTAGATGATCAGATGAGAATTCCTCTGTTTTCTAAGAGTAAGAACAAGAAACAAGACTGTTTTATATATATATGCTTTCTAGATTCTTCCTCCATCATGCCAGGTGTTCTGTAACACAGAACCTCAAAAGATCTTAGCCTGGGTGTTCTTTTTAGCTAGGCACAGGGCTGGGATTCAGGAGTAACTTGGTGAACAAAATAAAGGATAAGCGATCTTTTTGTGTTATTAAAACTCTACAGCAGCAAATTAATTTTTACTTCTGTTAATAAGTAACAAAACACAGATGTGATGAATACAATTAGTCTCATTGAATGATGCCAACAAACACCTGAAAACTCACAACCCCTCTCCCCCCACACACATACATACGCACAATGAAACTTCCCAGGAGACAAATCTAGGAGCAAATATAGAAACAACTCTAAAATTCTGTGCTTTAGACATAACGTGACATGAAGGGACCCCACAAAGCTTGTCCTGGTAACTAGAAAGCAAGTTCCTCTGCATTCACAAGAGCACAGGTTTCTTTTACAACGATGAAACTAATGAGTAAAGGTAAGTAGTAGATTCGAATCTCCCGAGAGCTATAAGGATCACCTGGATTTCATGAATGTTGCTTATGAAAAACTAAAAAGGAATTCAAAACTAGCAAGGCAATACTAAAAATACACTAAACATCTGGGCATTATACTATCTTTAAAATATCAGTTTAATGAAGAAAATAAGAACACATAGGAACACCTGCTGTGTGTAAGGGACATTCACCTGTTCTGCCATTTAATTCTCTCAATAACCAAAGGAAGTTGATAATCTGTTTTTTGTTTTTTTAATAAATTGAGGTTCAGAAAATTTAGGAATTCATCTAAGGTTAGACAATTAAAAAAGTAAATATTAGGGTGCCTGGGTGGCGCTGTCAGGTGAAGCTTTCAACTCTAGGTCTTGGCTCAGGTCATGATCTCACAGTTCTCGAGCCCTGTGTCCGGCTCTGGGCTGACAGCGAGGAACCTGCTTGGCATTCTCTCTCTAGCGCTCTGTCTGCCCCTCCCCCAGCTCATATGCACACATGCTCCCTCAAAATAAACTTAAAAAAAAAGTAAGTATATATAATAAAAATAAATTCTAGAAGTCAAATACAATTTAAAATAAGTAAAATAAATGAAACTTGAGGGACTCTAAATCCACTGCTCCTTGCTTTAGAAGGAAGAGAAAGAAAGGAAAGAAGAAAGGAAGGCCGCAGGAAGAAACGGAGAGCCAGATCTGGTCAGCGGCATGAACACCAAGGACTCAATCCTGGTGAAACATGGAACGGGTACTAAGCTTGCCTTACCGCACAGACTTTCCTTTGTTAAGCCATTTGCTTTACCAAATTATTATTTTAAAGCCTCAATTTAAAAACTTAAAATTAGGGGCTCTTGGGTGGCTTACTTGGTTGAGCATCCGACTTCGGCTCAGGTCATCATCTCATGGTTCATGGGTTCGAGCCCAGCACCAGGCTCAAAGCCTGGCGCCAGCTTCAGACTCTCCCGCATTCGCGTGCACTCTCTCTCTCTCTCTTTCTCTCTCTCTCTCAAAAATAAACATTAGGGGTGCCTGGGTGGCTCGGTTAAGCGTCTGACTTCAGCTCAGGTCATGATCTCATGGGTTCAAGCCCCGGTTGGGCTCTGTGCTGAATGACAGCTCAGAGCCCGGAGCCTGCTTCAGATTCTGTGTCTCCCTCTCTCTCTGACCCTCCCCTGCTCACGCTGTCTCTCTCTCTCTCAGAAATAAATAAAACCTTAAAAATTAAAAAAAAAACATTAAAAAATTTTTAACTAACTAAATAAAAACGATATAAAAAAAAAATCTCCTAGCTCTGTCACTGTCAAGAACTGCACACTGGCATTTTCCTTAAAATAAAAACCAGAAGGAAAGCTTGAAGGTAGCCAGAGCGGCCCTCACACAAATGGCATTGGTGTTGAAGAATTTTAAGCCACATGAGTCTTGTTTGGCTGGCAGTAACAGACGCAGTCCCCAAGTATTACCAAAGCACAGCCACCCGAAAATAACAAATGAAGAACATGGTGAAGGTTTCTTACCTAAAATGAGCACAAGGACATAATGGAAGTCATTAAGAAAATTCAGAGAGTAATTGCAGGCAGACTCCGCCCCCCCCCCGAAAGTAATCGGCTAATAAACATTAATTATCTTTTGCACCGTGTAACGATTTATAATGGGTTCAAACGAGGCCTTCCCCAGTAGGTCCAGGATTAATGAATGGCATTTTAGGTCTAACACAATAGTACCCCCGAGACAATGAAAACTAGAACGTTACTTCACAGCCCGTGTTTCCTCTTTTTTAAGTGCGCTTGTATTTAGATCCCTGGAGATTTTATCAGACGTGTTTTAGGTTTTGTTCCTAAAAGCAGCCAGCCTCCGTCCATAACCTACTGTGTGCCCGGTGATCCTCAAGCACCTGGCCTGTGTTGTCTCAACCAGTTCTCAAGGGGCATAGGCAGAAATCTGGAGACCAGGAAGATGCGAGAGAATCTTTTCTGGAGCCAACAGGGAAGGCAGTTTCCGGGAAAGGAGCTCGGGCGGCGTCCGGAGCAACCCAAGAAGGACTCGGAGCCCGCCGGGGGGCGGGGGCCGCGGGCAGGCCGAAGGGGTCAGGCGGGGTTGATGGGGGGGGGGGGCTCCCTGGGCGGAAACGGGGCCCACTCGCCCCCCGGCTTGCGGAGTCAACTCCCCTGCCGGGTTCCGCATCCCCTACAGCGGTCTCGAACTCGAGTTCCGAGCCGCGTTCCAGGACCAGGCGCGCACACCCCGGTCGGAGAAGTTGGGCTGACAGCTGAAGGCTCCTCCTTCACTTGGGGACGTGATGGGTGACAACCCTCGCCGTTCCCCGCAGCCTTCCCCCGCCCCGCCCCAACGCGCTGCCCCCTGCGCGCACGCCGCAGAGCCTCAGCGCGGCGGGCATCCCACCGGGCCGGGGAAGGAGACGGCCTGTGGCGGAGCCGCGGGGGCCGGCGGGCACGGCCCCTCTGCCGCATCACCTCCCAGCCCGAGTGAAAGCTCGCGGAAGGCGTCTGGAGGGTGCCCGGTCCTGCAGCAGCCACGGCGGAGGCGGTCTCGCCCTCCATCCCTCCCCGCAGGTGCGCCAGGGTACCTGACGCCCTAAGGTCTTTTCCAGACACGTCGGCATCGGCTCCCAAAGGGGGGCCCAGCAGAACCCGGCCAGGGAGACTTCCAGAGGGGCGGCGGACCCTGCAGGGAAGCCGGCGGCACTCCCCAAGGACCCGCAAGTCTTTCGAGGCTTGCCCCTCAAGGCTTACCCCCGGACATGTGCGTGGCAAACCCAAACGATCCAAGCGCCACCTGCGAGTTCCCTCGCCGCCCCGCAGGTGAAACCCCCACGGACGTCTCCGCGGCGCTGCCTGCCCGGCCAGCGGTGCCTCCCCATCCCGGAGGCTGGGAAGGCTCCCGGGACCCCCGCTCAAATCCCACCGGGGAGGGCTCCGGAGCCCGAGGGCGCGGACAGCTGCGCCACCGCATCCCCGATCCTGGGAGTCCGCCCGCTGCGGGGCGGCCAGGGGACCCGTGGGACACTGCGGGGCCGCGCCCCTCCTTACCTGGCGCTCGCCCGCCCCTGCTGGGACATCCGTCGGGTGCGCGCCCCTCCGCGCGCTCGCTGCGCACCTGGCCGTGGTCGCCTCCCCGCGCGGCCCCAGCCTTGGCTGCCGCGCTAGCGCTTCATGGCGCACGGGGCTGGCCCGGGGCCCCGGGAAGCGTGTCCAGTTGGCGGCGGCTCCTCCGGCTCTCGCCTCTCGCCAATGGCTCCCCGCCTTCCCCCGCCCCGCAGCCGAGCTCGCGTCCTCTGCGGCCGCCCTTTTCCCTCCGCTCTCCGGGACCGGCCGAACTGGTTTCTCCGCTCCGGGGTGGTGCCTCCAGTCTCCCTCTGGCAGCTGCGGCTGGGGCTGGGGCTGGGGGCGGGCCCCGCCGTCTGCCCTCCCTTTGTCCCTCCCGGGGGCGGAGAGGGGCTGGACGGCGAGCCCCAGGGCGGGCACAGCGGCCCAGGGCCAGCCCGCAGCCTCCCTGCGCCCTGGCGGCAGGTGGGCCACCCTGGAGGTGCCCCCGAGAGCGTCCCCTGCCTCGCTGCGCCTGCCACTTGGCAGCTGCGGTCGCTGTCGGCTCCTCTGGCGCTCCCGACTCCCGGGGGGCCGCGCTAGACACCCCGCCTCACCAGCCTCGCGTCACTTTCCCGCTGCCCTCGGCTGGCCTGGCCGCCGCCCGGGGTCTGTGACCTCGCCAGCCCGGAAAGCTGGCCGAGCCGCGGCTCGCCGGGGACCTGACCCCCCTCGGTAAGGGGAGCTGTACCCTTTCGACGCCAAGTCACGTTCCAGGACGGGTCACCGAACGCGCGTCACGGTTCACCGCGCGGAGGGTGGGGAAAGGGACTGCACCAAAAGATTTGGAGAAACTTACCTGTAGTCGCAGCAAGCAGGCTTTCTGCTGAGACCTAACTCCTTCGCCTTTGGGGGTTTGGGGTCAAAGGCAGCCAAGGTGCAGCAGGTGAACGTCACGGAGTAGGTGGAAATTTTGGACTCGCGTGCGTGGTTGCTAGCTGGTGTCTGGGCTTGAAAATCGTGCCTTCTTGACAGTATGTACGCATCACACTCTGTACACTGGGAACTCTCTTCTTTGCAGAATTTTACTGCTCACCCACTAGAAAAAGTCACTAAGGAGAATGGAGGAAAGTCAAAGATGTATCAAAAGGTTTGCTTAAAATGTAGTAGGGGAGATAGAACTCATAAATGAGTATCTAGTTACCCGCAGATCAGAGAGGTTCAGGTCATGGACCTGAGAGTTTAGACACCCAACTGGGGGCTTAAGGAGGGCCCCAGTTGGGTACCCTTTCTGAGGAGGCCATGCTTAAGATGGGCCTCAGAGATCCACACTTTTAGGACTCAGAGTTATATGGAGAAGATATTCAAAGAGTAGTCTACTAATTTGATCTCCAGGTATACGAAAGAGTCAAGTGATCTTGTTAAAGCCTAAACTATCCCGCATTTCTTTTTCATTAGTTACTCTTGGCTTTAAAAAAAAAAAAATCTCTACACCCAATGTGAGGCTCGAACTCAGAACCCCCAGACCAAGAGTCTCTCGCTCTACCAGGTAAGGCAGCCAAGCACCCCTACACACTTGATTTTTCCCTAGGTGGACTGGTCAGTCATTCGATCTCGCTGGGCCTCAGTTTTCTCATCTACAAATGAGACTGGACCAGATTATCTCCAATGGGTCCTTCCATTTTCTGAACCCAACACCAGAGCAAAGGTACAAAAGCCAGAAAACATAGAGGCGCCTGGGTGGCTCAGTCAAGTAAGCATCTGACTTCAGCTCAGGTCATGATTTCACGGTTTGTGAATTGGAGCCCCACATCCAGTTCTCTGCTGTCAGCGCAGAGCCTGCTTTAGATCCTCTGTCTCCTTCTGTCTCTGCCTCTCTCTCTAAGAAAAATAAACATTTTAAAAAAAATTAAAAGAAACCAGAAAACATAGGACCCAGTTAGTTACAATGGGGAAGACCACTTGGCTGACAGTTCAGTGGTAATACATAAGGCTGGAGAGAGAATTAGGGCCTCAAAGGCTTTGAAGGCAGGTTAAGGAGTTTAGACTTCCTATTTTTTTTAAAAATATTTTTTATTTATTTCTGAGAGAGAGAGAGAGAGAACAGGGGAGGGTCAGAGAGAGAGGGAGACACAGAATTGGAAGCAGGCTCCAGGCTCTGAGCTAGCTGTCAGCACAGAGCCCAACATGGGGCTCGAACCCACAAACCATGTGATCATGACCTGAGCCGAAGTCGGGCGCTTAACTGACTGAGCCACCCAGGCGCCCCTAGGCTTCCTTTTGATAGCACCTGCAAACCACTCCGAGTCAATGATCACAGTGTGACACGATCCAGGTTGTGTTTTAGGGAAAGTAATGGGGCTAGTTTGGAAGAAGACTCGGATGGGGGTACCACTTAGGAAGCTAGTAAAGCAATAAAAGGTGGGCCTGAAGGAGTCGCCAGTGGAAGGGAAAAAGGAGAAGGAACTTTCAGGCACAGCAGCAGGAGAAGGGACAGGGCACAGAGTGGCCAGATTCTGCACCTGACTGGCAGACAGAAGCACAAAGATGAGCCAAGTTCTCCAGACCAGCGGCTGACGTTAGGAGCCGCAAGAGAATCAGGAGGGAGGCCGCTGCGGAGGGCTCTACCCCACTAGGAGAACTGCCCCCGAAGCCAAGAATCAGGAGGTGACTCTAGACTAAACGAGGGATCCCTTTCTTCTTGCAGGTCTACCAGCAGGTGCTCAATCTAAGAAAACATCGCATGGAAGAGAGACTACACAAAGGCACATCCAACCCACGCCTGCGCTCGGGTCGGATAAATAACATTGCTATGGCTGCGTTGAACACTCCTATGTAGACATTGTAGATTTCAAGCTAGTTTGTTTCTCTCACAGACAACACCGAGTGGCGAGCAGAGAGTGGGGAGAGGGGTAGATAAAGGAACACAGTGGGGAATGTTTCAAAGAGTCATTCATTTAGCAATATCACATAGTAGGCACTGTTCTAGTTGCTTGGATACATCATGAACCAATCAGGCAAATTGTATCAAAGGTGACAAATGCTTTGAAAAAATAGAGGAGGACTGTCCAGGAGGGGACCACTGAGGGAGACTTCCAGCATCCTGTAAAAGTACTACCCTTTAACCTTTATCCTATTTCATTTTATTTTATTCTTTTAATGTTTATTTATATTTAAGAGACACAGACAGAGCATGAGTGGGGAAGGGGCAGAGAGAGAGAGAGAGGGAGACACAGAATCTGAAACAGGCTCCAGGCTCTGAGCTGGCAGCACAGAGCCTGATGTGGGGCTCGAACCCACAAACTGTGAGATCATGGGCTGAAAGTCATGTGAGCCCTGAGCCCAAGTCGGAAGCTTAACCAACTGAGCCACCCAGGCGCCCCAACCTTTAACCTATTTTAATACTCTATAAGCTGCTTTGAATCTTCCTAAATTGCATATTGAACATTTTTCAAAGAATTAAATATTCTCCCAAATGGTAGATAGAGTTCTAAGATGCCCCTGGAGTTCTACATCTTGTTCTGGGAGATGGTTAGAGGAGTGAATACATACATAAGAGTTCATCGACCTGCACACTTAAGATTTGCACATTAAAAAATAATACAGATCGAGCAGGATTAAGGGATTAGGAGTGGGAGAATGATTTGCAATTTTAAACAAGTGGCCAAGGTAGGCTTCATGAAGAGATTTGGATTTGAAAAAGACTTGTAAGAAGGTGAAAGAGTTTCGCCTATCTGAGGGGAAAGAAATTCTTTGAAAACTCATTTCACCTAGGACCCACCAGACAAAGGCATGTTCAAACCTTGTCCTATTGAGCTTCCCTCCCCTAATGCCTTCTGGGTCACTGAGAAGGTGACTCTCAGAGCATGTCGGCTGCTGCTGCTGGTAAAGGAAGTAGCTCAACTCCATGTCCTGACTTTTGTCCTCTCTGAGAGATCCAGGCCAAATTTCAGGGTGTCTTGTCAGGTCAATCCCTGAAAGTGTTTCATGCATGCAACAAGAACTGATTTGGAAATGTATCTTACATGAGTCACCTCTTTGCCCCGGTGACAGCTCTGATTCCTCCAGCCTCTGCGATTCTGTCCCTGAGAACCCCAATGGGATTGCATAACATTCTGGGTTTTTTTAAAATTCTTTAATGTTTATTTATTTTTGAGAGGAGGGGGGGATGGGCAGAGAGAGAAGGAGACACAGCATCTGAATCAGGCTCCAGGCTCTGAGCTGTCAGCACAGAGCCCAATGCGGGGCTCAAACTCATGAACTGGGAGACCATGACCTGAGTTGAAGTCAGATGCTGAATCCACTGAGCCACCCAGGCGCCCCGGCATTCTGGTTTTATTTAGAAGCCTCTCCCACTCAGCAACCAACATCTTTACCTTGCAAGGGGAAAATAATTCCACACTGGGGAAAATAACAGAAACAGTCATTTCTAAATAAAGATGATGATGCTTTTCAGATTTTGTAATTCTCAATCTCCTTTATTTCTTTTTGTTTCTTTTTTCTTTTTTCTCTTTTCCTGGCAATACTCCCATGCATTTCCATGATGTGGGTAGGAAGGCTGGTGTGGTTGCCAAAAGATCTAGCTCAATTTTACTGAAAATTCGTGTCCTAGAATTTTTTTTTCTACACGATATGAGCTAAAGAATAAAAGCTGTATTTAAAGGGAGGTGATACTGTCTGTATTCAGTTCTTTCCTAAGCTCAGTGGTCATTTAAGCTAAAGCATTTAATGCCAGTGGAAAGGTATTCATGCTGCACTAGGTGCTATTGTAACCCATGCTTGGCAGTCAAGATTAATAGTCGGAAGATAAATTCTTCCCAGCCATTTTCTAGACGAGCTCCAGAATTTTAAACATGATAAGAAGGTGCCTCTTAGGCGAGTCTGTCTTTGCAATAAGCGAAATTGGAAGCTTCAAATAATCTGCCCCACTTTTTAAGAATGGTATTTAAAAAAGCAGATATAGATGATATAATCTGTTGTCTCTGCATAAATGATTTTCCAAATTCCTTTGGATTTATAGGCTTTCCACCTCCTTTACTACTTAATTGACTTCTTTTTTCTGACTAACA